CGTTAGAAGCATTTAATTTTGTATTACGATTGTGTTGCATCATTTCTAGCTGATTTTCGGTTAGAGAACTTTCAGCACTGATGTGCGTATAGGGATTCTCTTTCTCATTATTAGCAGATTTTAATTGGTTTTCTAAAAATAAAAAAAATCACATTCATGTGAAAAGGGATATAAGTAAAAATATACCTACCGTCAAAAACATTTAATTTTGTATTCGCATTTTGTAAAATGGTTTCCAGCTCATTTTCGGATATACAACTTTCAGCAGTGATGTGAATATCGGGATTATCTTTCTTATCATTGAGAGATTTCATTTCCCTTTCTAAAAAATAAAGTAAATCGCATGTAGGTAGGTATGTGGAAAGAGATATAAGTAAAAAAAAATATTGTTGAGATCTTTACGCTAAATTATTATTGGAAAGCACCCTCCACAAAATAAAATATATTGTATAATTTGTTTACTTTTACTTACCTGCTTTTGCATTTGGTACCGGAGTAGCTTGCAGCGGCACTAATAATTTGAGGATGTGTTTAGTACGTTGTGACATCCTAACCTCAAATGTTTTTTTAATTTTTATTGAAATATTATTAACAAGAAATCAATAGAAAGAGCTGCCCAAAATATCACATACAAGTTACCGTGTACCATGTATACTTGAACAAAAAATTTGGCGCCCTTAAACAAGATAATTAAAAAAAAAACGGAACAACCATCCCTCTCCACAGTATGAAGGCAAGTGAAGCAGCATAACAACGAGAAAAGGGATATATGTGCACATTATACCTTAACATTTTGCCAATAAATATGTCTTTAGTATATGTAAATAGGTATAAGTATACATATGCCGCTTTTCTCAAAAATATTATTTTTTATTTGTGGAGTTAATTTTGTGAAAAGAGGTATAAGTCTATTTGTTTCTCTTTACACATAAGTAATGTAAAATATTATCTGACATAAGTAAACATATACCCGTATACCCAAACATATCTCAAGATATTTATTATTGTTCTCGGGTACAAATAGACTTATTCCATTATTCACTTAAAATCTATTCAAGTCGTAGGTATAAGTTCACTTATCACCTTTTTCACAAAAATATAATCTCCAAAAGTGACTTATATCATTTTACACCATAGTGTATCACTGTATTATAATATTTTCTAGTTATATCCCTTCTCCCATACGTTGCCGACTACTTTCTGATGCATTTGGTATAAATAACTCATTTTAACTAGTTTTTGACTTATACCCCTTTTCACATACATGAGCCATTTATTTTTATTTCTTTCACATTATGATCAATAGCCATTTTTTCGAGCTGCGGCAGTACTCTCTCTAGTGAAATACTGCCCTTATTGATCGATATTTTTGATTCTGCGCAGAATCTTCCTTTTATTCCCAAATTTATTCTAAGATAATTGGGCTTAATATCAAATTTCGCAATAGGAAGTTTAATTATGCTTGAATTGTCAAAGGCTTCGTATACTTTTGGCTTCATTACTGGTTTATTCAGTGTAGTACTTTGGTTAGTATTTATTTTGTTTTGCTGTGCCTTAGTCGTCGACCTAGTGATTGCTAATATTTGAGAACTGTTTTGAGAGATATTTTTAAGATCTTCAATAGTTAGCCTGGATAGAAAATCAGCACCTACGTTACAACTACCCTTAATATATTGTATTTCAAAATCGTATTGTTCTAATTCTAATCTCATACGCGTTAATTTTGAGGAGGGGTCCTTCATAGAAAATAGATAGACAAGTGGTCTGTGATCAGATTTGACCAAAAATCGATTTCCGAATAGAAAGGGTCTAAAATAGTTTATTCCCCAGCAACTTGCTGTAAGTTCTTGCTCTATAGTGGATTTATTTGATTCCCCTTTTGTAAATGATCTTGAGGCATAGGCCAATGGCATGTCCAATCCGTCATACTCTTGTGACAAAACAGCTCCGCATGAATCTCGGCTCGCATCGGTTGAAAGAATAATTTTTTTTTGGAAATTTGGATATTGCAAGATAGGTGGCTCTAATAGTGAGTTTCTCAGTTTTTCGAAGGAATTTTGACAGTCTTCTGTCCATTTAAATGTAACATTCTTTCTAGTAAGTATATTGAGTGGCCTTGCAAGTTGTGCAAAATTAGGAATAAATCGGCGATAATAAGAAAGGAATGAAACGAATCTTTTTACTGCTTGTGGATCTTTTGGAGGTGAGAAGGATCGAATTACTTCAAATTTTGAGTCATCCGGTAAAATTCCTTGGTCTGTACATTTATGACCCAAAAATGTCACTTCCTTCTGAAAGAATTTACATTTTTCAGGATGAGTTTCAGGTTATATTTCCTGCAAGTTTCGAAAACACTGCGAAGATTTTGCAAGTGGTGGTTTTTAGAGCATCCAATAACTATAAGATCATCCATGTATACGAATGCTTTTTCTGGTGTTATACCTGCGAAAGCTAGGTTCATCATTCGCTGAAAGCTATTAGGACTAATTTTCAGTCCGAAGGGAAGTCTTGTAAATCTGTAGGATCCTTGATTCGTGCTAAACGTTGTTATATCTCTCGAATTTTGCTCTAAGGGAATTTGGTGAAATCCTGATTTTAAATCTAATGTAGAGAAGAATTTGGCTCTTCCTAGTTGATCCAAAACGGCATCTATTCTCGGTAAAGGAAATTTATCACTCAAAAGGGCCTTGTTGACTCGCCTAAAATCGACCACTAATCTCCATTTTTTTATTTTGGTCTAATGACTTCTTTGGCACTAACAATATTGGGCTATTGTATTCCGCCATGGACGGTTCAATTATATTGTGTTCCAACATTTTGCTTACTTGCGCATTTATTTCCGTCGTCTGTGAGTAAGGAATGCGATAGTTTTTACTATAAACAGGTGTTTGGTCTGATAGTTTTAACTTTTGTTCGTAGAAATTGTTTGTTGTCAATCTATCTATAGATAGTCTAAAAACGTCGGAAAATTGCTTACATAGAGTTATTGTATCGTTTTTGGCAAATTCCGGGATATCTTTATTTAATTCTTTCAAAAGTTGTGATTCCCTATCTTCTTTTTAGCGATTAATATTATAAATATTGTAATTTTTTAATTCGGTGATTTCCAAGTCAGCATTTTTTATTGCAACACTTTCAATATTTGTATTCAAAACTTTAATGTAAGGATTCGACCTTGATATAATAGCACCTGCGACAAAAACTCCTGGCGTTATCTCTTTGTGTAGAACTACCGAATCTTCTTTGAGTTGCTCAAATCTTTTGATATGTCTAATGATCTCACATCTTGGTGGTACAATTAGTAAGTCCTCTTCTGGGCTATTAAAAATGTGCGTTGTTATTTCAGTATTTCTGTATAAGATGGTCATATTCCAGTTTGAGTAATCTAATTGACACTGGTATTTCACTGAAATCTCGCCCTAAAATTCCGTCGGATGGTATAGGAAAGTTATCGTCTACTACGTGAAATGTATGTGGCAGTGAGAAGTTATTGATAAAAATGTTAGTTTCTGTAGTTCCGCATGAACTTGCTGAGCCTTCTGTAACGCCTCTAATTCTGCTAGCATGTGCCCTATTTAATAATTGAGCCGGCTTAATTTTTGACTTTTTGAATATTGATATGTCAGCCCCTGTGTCGACGAGTAATGTTATGCTTTCGTGTCCTGTCATTTGTGTGGTGATCAATACAAAGTTTGAAAGTGACAGGTCCAAGTGAAAAATTTTTACTGGTTGTCCCCCATTGGACCTAACTGGGGGTCCTGCCGGTTTTCCGAACTTTCCTCTGACTCATAGCTTCTTACGAAAGGTGTCCTATGTCCTCTCGTACTATGTCTATTGTTGTAAAAAGTGCCTCTGTAATTTTGATTATTATTTCCTCTATACTTATTAGTTGGATCTCGTTGGCCATAGTGATTGGATCCGTTACTATATCGGTTATTATTAAAATTGTTATACTGTCTTCCTCTGCTCCGCATATTACCCCTATATTGTCCTCGTTTGTGCCTATTGTGCCCCGCAAAAAAAACTGAGGCGGTGCTGTTACCTGAGTCAGCGCTAACGTCGACAAATTTTGAAATGGCTTCATTCGGAGTTCTAAAAGTGGCGGCTTCCATAATAATACGCACGCTTTCTGAGCTAGAATTATTTTTGAGTGCCCTAACGGTAGTGTTTGTAGTATATTTCTCAGCTACTTCTGCCGGTACGCCCTCTCTTATATAAGCTCTCTTCAGACTTGATGACAATGACTCTATCTCCGTCGCCAATTTCGTGTAATCCTTATTTTGCTGTTTCAGCGAAAGAAGCTTACTTGTAGCTGTTTGTGAGCTTTCTGCCTTGATGCCCTTTTTTAATTTTTCTATAATGGTCGTCAAATCATCTGTCTCATTGATCAGTTCTCGTGCTTTTCCTGTCAGCTTTGTTTTAACGAAGGCAGCGGCGTTGGCCTCGTGATCTGTGGCATTCGTCTGTAGCAAATTTAGAGCGTCCAAAAATGATTGGAGTCGGTCTTCCGATCCATCATACTCACTGCTGACGATCTTGCTTGCAAAGTTGAAAAATTCTACTGCGGTAATAGGCATTTTCAATAACCTTTCCACCTCTATTTGACTATTAACCTCGTCACTATCTTCTTGCTCTTCTATATCCGAGATTTCCAGATCTTCTTCCAGTACTGAAGGATTTATTACTTCTGTGCAAGAATATTGGTATTTTATATGGTACTCTAAGAACCAAATAAGCCCTAATTACCCTATCTCGCGCTGTGCTAAAAAGTTTTTTGATTTTCTGATATTGTCTATTAGGGTAAGTCCGGGAGAGTTCGACCACATTTTGGAAAAAAAATTGTAACTTTTTTGGTTTCTGAGATATATTATTTAAAATCTGTTGAAGCATTGCCTAAAGGATAAGGATAGTATAAAAAATATAAGTCATGATATAATACGAACATAAATTTTTATTCTGAATTAAAAGTTCAAACATTGCAACTGGTCGATCTCACCCGCATGTCCGGGTTAGTCCGACCATCAACTGAGGGTGAGACCGACTTCGGAGAATATCAAAACATAAAATAAAAATCCATATTAAAACAGCATATTAGTGAAAGTATAATAAATGCGTATTAATAAATTTAATTTTCACGGCGTTTCTTTCTCATTTTTCCGCATAAATCGCAAAAATTCTCGAATTTGGAGCACCCATTGTGAAGCCAACGACTGCAGTCCACACATTTGATCCAATCGTCTTTCTTAGTGGTTTTGAAATAATTTTCCCCACACACTACGCATTCATTTTCGTCCCATTCTTCTGCAGATGTATCACTTTCCTGCAATACTGGGCTTTCGCTGTCTGAATCTGAAGATTCTAATCGTTTTTTCTGTTTAACCACAGCTTTCTTCTGAATTGGACACCGCGTTCTGCCTAACCGAGTAAGTAAAGAAACGATGAAAGTAGTGGTATTTCACCGGCGATTTTCATCTCCCACTTATGCTACACCTCTCATGTCTCCTTACAGTGCCAGACTAGAGTCAAGCTCAATAGGGTCTTCTTTCCCCGCTAATTTTTCCAAGCCCGTTCCCTTGGCAGTGGTTTCGCTAGATAGTGGGTAGGGACAGTGGGAATCTCGTTAATCCATTCATGCGCGTCACTAATTAGATGACGAGGCATTTGGCTATTTTTTTTTTTTTTTTTTTTTTTTTTTTTTTTTTTTTTTTTTTTTTTTTTTTTTTTGTGGAGGGGGTTGAGGAAATCTGCTCGTCAGACACCCCGTCAGATGTTGTTAGATAGGGTTCTGCCAATCATGGCTTATAGACGGGGTAGTGTCGGGTTGGCTAGATGTTATGCCGACCGACTAAAACCCTTTCCCCCCCGCGTAGTCTTACGCCTGAGCCCCAGGCGGCAGGGTTTCCGGTTCCATACTCGTAGTCCGTTTTAAATGCACCTGCGCGACATTCCTCCTTCACGCTCCCAGGTCACGGCGGGTCAGGCCGTGGGGGTCTTCTCCTCCATACTTGAGTGTTTTTATTGATGTGTGATGTGATGTGTTTTTTTTTCTTTCTGAATCTCGATGCGTTGTGAACTGTTTAAAATGGTTGCAAGCTGCCTACCTCGTCATTTAACTGCTACTTTTGCACTGGTTTTTGGAATCGGCGAGATCACATTATCCAACAATTTTCCTGGTGTGGGGTCGAGTGTGGGTTCGATCTCCACTGTTGCAGGATCAGGGTCGCGCGAACAACCAGGCTGATCCGGAAAAATGCGAGTGTTAGTTGCCTGAACGGTAGGGACCCGGGGTGGAGTCGGAGGAGGGGAGATATTTTCAGCCGTATTATTTGAACCAGGCGTGGCTTCTCCATCTTGTTCCATTTGAATATTAATATACGCATAATCTGGAATGACTTCTGGATTAAAGGGTGCAATGCCTGTAGCTCTAAATCCAGACATCCCATTTTCCACAGTTGCCGATTTACCCCATGCTTGTCCCAAAAGATTTCCAAAAATCAACCTTGATATTTTCCTACTTGGATTCGCTTTTAGGAAATTGTTGCAAGCCGAGTAGTAATGGTTTTTCAGTGATTTAAAAAAGGACCTATCCAATGGTTGAAGGTAATGAGTCGTGTGACTTGGTAAACAAAGTAGAATTATGTCATTAGCTTCGGAAAACTCCAGCACTTCCACAGAATTTGTGTGAGAAGTATGCCCATCGACGATTAACAATACTTTTCCAGCTGGTTTTCGTGGCAAAAAATGAAACTCCAACCATTCCTTGAAAATGGTAGGATTGACATACGCTGATTTCTGTGACATAGCAATTTGGGAGCCAGGTGGCATTCCGTCTAAAAATTCTTCCTTTCTATTTTTTCCTTTAAATATTGAGTAAGGTGGGAGAAACATTCTCTCAGCATTGCAGCACGCAATTACCGAAATTGTTTCGCCCTTCTCGCCGGATGTTAACGAAGAAACATTTTTTGAGCCTTTTGCGGCTAACACTTGGGTTGGTCTATTGTTTAATTGCAAACCGCTCTCGTCCATGTTAAATACATTTGCAGGTTTGTGATGAAGTTGGTTATTAGTGAGAACATTTTCTAGAAGGGTAAAATAGTGTTTCACAGTCTCGCGGTTCATTCCAGTCGCTCGATTAATAGAGATTCCTTCGGCTTTTCTAATCGATATTTCAGGATGTCGTCGCAAAAATGAGTTAAGCCAATCGTAGCCGGCTTTGCCTTTTTCTTTATTAAACGTATGCTTCAATTTCAGTTCTTCGGCAAGTTGGAATGCCCATATTCTGACAGACTCGCGATCTGGTGCAAATCCAAATGTTTGCAGTTTTTTTTATGTGTCGCACCAATTTAAGTTCTGCATTTTCTCCCAACGCTGATGACGGACCTAGTCTGTTTTGTTTTATTGCATTCCCCTTCCTAATCCTATCTTTAAGGGTTGTTTTAGGGATTCCAAATTGCCAAGCGGCTTTGTTTACTCCCATTGTACCATTTTCTACAGCTTCAATTGCACTCCTTAATGAATCGGCACTCCATCTAGCTCTTTCGTCATTTTTCCTTTTGTAAGTGGTGGGCATTTTTGTTAATCTGTAACAATATATTTGTTTGAGTTTTGGCTTCATTATATTTCAAACCGCATAATATTTCATTATTATTATTTCCATTTCCGTGGTCGGTCTCTCCCGGTTTGAAGTGGTCGTACTCTACCAAAGTTACGGGAGAGATCGACCACCTTGGTAACCGAAGTTAAAACGAGAAATGCCTACATATTTGAGGTTATGTGATAGTTCCATGCATATTTTATCATCCAGTATTGAAACAGTTCAAATAAACTTACCAGTCTTCAAAATATCACCACCACAGTAAATCGGTCAGAAAACTTTCAAGTTAGCACAAATTTTCAATCCTCATTTATAAATTTACACTGCTGTCTCGGGCCATGTCAACGTGTTGGTGGCAACAAGATCAACTGAATTTATCATATTTGTGACACACAGAGCCCTCTATTGCTCTGTTCTCCAGTAATCGACACTGGTCGGTCTCTCCCGATGGTCGATCTCTCCCGGACTTACCCTATCTAAAAATTGGTAGTTAATTGTACATATTTTAACAAAATCATTATAAAGGGTTAGCAAATTTACTTTAACTTCCTCGCGCACACTCTCGCTTTTCGGTACGTTTGATTTTAAAACTCTTTTAGACTCACAAACGATAGCGTCTTTTAAATTTGTCAGCCGGGTATGAGTTTCATCCCAGTTAAACGTCATAAATAAATAAATAATAAATATTTATCTAGTAATAACTCAAAAAAAAAAATAAAACTACGTAAAAAGGAAATAATACCATAATATAGTAGATAGTTAGGTACCTAGAGAATAAACAATTTTGAAGGTCAAATGTATACTAGTTATTATGGACCTATATAGTTTAGCTTTTAAATTATGCATTCGTGAATAGAGCTAATATCAAAGAGAAGAAAAAAAAATAATAATCAGATGAACATGAATGAAATGGACTTAAAATAAGCACCATAATAAATTAAAAGTTAAAGTCTTTTTAATATTTTGGGACATCTTCTTCTTTTCAGGAAATAATATAATGAAAGTTGTGAACACACGGGAACTCAGCTGCTCTATTACGGCATCAATTTTTCATTTTATTTTATCTATCTTTGAATGGCTCAATTTTCAGATCAGACAAGGGACGTATACTCAGCATCGGGCATAATAACAAGTTTGTACATACCGGCTGTCCTCTGCGTGTGTATGACTTACGAACTTTATGCGACAGCGTCTACATCATCAGCTGCTCTGGCTCTTAGCACCATGCTTCTGCCCAAATTGCGTTTCAGGCCTCTTCTATACGATTTACGCACTTTCAAAAATGTCATCAGACACACGGCTGCAGCAATAACATACAATATTACGCGAACGTCATGTGGTACGGAAACAGCGTTTTCTTCAACGATAAAATTCGAGTTTACCGCTCCGGTATCAGTCACTTCCGCGTGTACTTAGGCACCATCCTGGCAGAATCGCCATGTATGATCCTTAATAAAACACAACGGATGTTATTGGTTTGAACGTTATATTGGATCTGAATAATGGTTACAATATGGTTTACATAGTTTGGTAATACTAATGACGTGACATGGAGGTGACCTGATTATGATGTTATGATAATAATAATAATATGAATATACCTAGTGTTAATATTAAACTGCACTACAACGGCAGGTGTGTATAGATCCAAAGAAGGTATAAAAAGACTGTATGAAAATAAAAAAAAGAATTGAGAAAGAAGGCTGCTGATGCCAAACTGGAACAGAAAAAACTGGTGGAGGCTTACCACCACCTAGACCGGATGAACCATTTGATGATGTTCTTTTATCGATAATTAATAAAAAAAACAGTTTATGGGTTAGAAACACCCTATGGTGGCGATGTTTCGAGTGGTGATGAGGCAGAGCCATCTGAACAGCCCCGTAATGACATTGAAATTGTGTATGAGTATGCCCAAGATAGAGAAAGCATGGATGAGGATGTTGTAGAAGAAGACCTCTTGGTAAGTTGTATCTAATATGCCTTGAAGTTTCGTTTTTTTGGTTTTTTTAGGGGTTCTGTTAAGATATCTCAATATAGCATTGTGCTCGAGATTGTGCTCTTATCCCAGGAAAGCACAGTCAATCTAATCTTGAAAAAAATACGTTTTTTATACGAATCCTTGGCTTTTCCGCATCTTTTTTTTTAGATTCTTTGTCATTACTGCTATTTTAGTATTTTATGCAAGTATGTATATTTTTTTAGGTAATGCCCAGCACATGGAAAAAATATACAGCTACCGATTATAAAAAAACCATTATCCTCTGCTCTCAGGACAGAAGGTCAAAAGGAAAATAATGGATTGACGATGAACTATTGTGGTAAAATAACCTTTGAAAATATATATCACAGAGCTACATAGTATACCAATAAATAAAATGTGAACCTTTTTCAGATATTCCCAGTAGAAAAAAGGACCAGGAAGGAGGTACTGGCAAAGAAATACATGAACAAGTAACTCCCAACAAAAATCGGCTCAATCGAAGTACTCCTGCTTCCAATCGTCGAAGACCCACCGTACAGGTGAAAGCACTAACCTCTTCTGAGGTATCTGAGAAGTACAATCAGTTGATGGATATGCGTCTGGAGATTGCTGACTTCACTAAAAAACGGCTAGCTCAAGAATTAGATCATTCGAAGGATAAACATAAGAAAGGAATGGAACTGCTGGATCTGCAAGTTTTAGTAGAAAAGGAAAGGTTGAATAAGCCTAAACGACCTGATTATTAATTATTCATAATTTCTTTGCTCCTTTGCTTCACGATTTTATTATAATCCTACATTGATGGTGCATCCTTATTATGAGTAGTATCATTTTATATAAATAATTCTATCTCTCTTGATTGAGAAAAGTTTTCAGTTTGTTTTTAGAGTTGCTGATTGGTGATTTAGTTCCTTAGTGGTTTTTAATCAAACTTACTACCTATGTTGTGATTTATGTTTTTAGTTGCATTTAGTACTTAGCAAGATGTTATGATTGTTGTTTATTACAAGAAGTTTTTATTTTTTTAAAATAAAGCAAAGCAAGTTTTTCAAGAAGACAGTTTTATTTCTCATAATTGATAAATATTTTTTATCAACATTTTCACATAAATATTTAGATGGGTAGATTTATATTTCTCGAGTTCCATAAAAACAAATAATTATAAATTTGCAAAATATGCTTGAATGAGTTGGTTTTGAAAATTCAAAGGCTCTTGGGCAACAGGAACTTCAGGAATTTGGCCTTCTTCTATCAAGTATTCAAGCTCAGCCTGATTAATATCAGCTGGTATCGGCGGCTCTGGCTCATGCATCTGTCTTGCAATGTTGTGCAGGACTGCGGCAGCAGGAATAATAGATAAAACTGTATCCAGTTTTAGTCTTAGCCCATAAGCTAAGACTGGAAATCGTCTTTTCCATATCCCAAAAACTCATTCCACAGAGTTTCTTGTTCTTATTAAAGATTCATTGTATAATACTTGGCCGCGGTTAACAGGATTAGCCAATGGCGTTAACAGATAATTTCTCTGGGCGTAACCACGATCTCCTAAAAAATGTTGTAGGTAAGTATATTACAATTGCACAGTTTGGCAAAGATGTTGGTGTAGCAGAAATTGTAATAGTGTGGTACCTACTATTAAAATATGTGGCCGCTGACGTCAATTTATTACTGTTCTGTTGCAACTTTACAAATTAAAACACTGGGTTAGTTTCTCAATAGCTAGTCACCTCCGGGTTGGTTTTGACTTTAGGGTAAGCGTGTCCAGTTGCTAGGTTTACCCTGGAGTTATGCTTAACCCAGGGGTGACTTGCTATTGAGAAACCAGCCCTCTAGGTACTTACCTAACAAAATGGAATTGGGAAAATGGTTTGTTTCAAATTTTTGTCTTATTCTACTGTTGAGGAAGATTGTATTATCGTGGCTTGATCCTGGCCATCTAGCTACTACATTTAAAAACTTCAGATCAGCATCAGTCACAGCTTGTGTGTTTATAGAAAAATACCCTTTTCTATTGCGAAAAACCTCTGCGTCATCGCCACCTAAAAATCAGATTGAAGCAATTGTAGAGTGATCATAAAAGCACTAAAAAACTTTTTTAATAGGATGTTTTATGTAACATTTTCAGCTAAGTGCCTCTATATTTGCCAAATGAAGAACATATTCAAACATTTCAAACGGCCCTTCGGGTTATAAATGTTATTGATAGATCAATTATGATAATAAGTTTTAAAAAATGGCAGGAAAGGGAGGTTTTATCATATAGATATTTGAAGGCTTATAAACACTGTAATAATTACCTGGTGAATTTATTCGGATGTGGGTACAATCCACTATCCCTAACACTCTGGGAAATCTTGCGATGTTGTAGAATTCTGTGTGGATTCTGTGAAACTCTTCTGCTTTCGGTTCCTTCACAAACTCAGGGTAGAGTCTTGCCAAAACTGATGAGAGTTTGGCTACTATCCTACTTGCTGTTGATTCGTGCATGCCCATAAAGTCGCCAACAACCGATAGATGTCCAGAACTAGCATAAAATCGCAAAGTCGTTAGTAGCTGATTGATTGGAGACACACTGTGGTTCCTGAAACACCGTTTTACACTTCACATACCTACCTACTTAACCTGACCAAAACTTTTGTAAAATGATTGTTTCGGTGCACTTACAAATCGTGAGGAAACTCCAGGTCCTCCTCAATTCGCTCTAATATGCCAATTACGGTTGGTTTCAAGAGACGAAATCTCTTGAAAAAGGTGAGATTATCCATGTTGTGGAAGTGGTCGGCTCTATGATATACCCTTCGTGGAAAACCCATATCAACTATATCTAATATATCCATATCATCCTCTAGGAATATGTCGTCTTCCCAAAAATCCATTTTTTAGAAACTAATTAGTTTTTGTCGGAATACGCACAGAGTAATCTTTTGACTTTTGAGGTTACATACACTGTTTTGTGTTTTTTTAGGTTAGAATTCGTACTAACTGTGGTTTATACCGATTTAAGCCTCCAAAATCGGTGGCTTAGTTCAACAGTGGCTTCGACGAGTTTAACCATGGCTTAAATTGCGGTGCAAGCCAAAATTCAGAAATAACTAATAGTTACATTTTAAACTACTGTTATACTAACGGTGCAAGTGGCCATAAAATAAATGTCGTGCAGGTCTTCATAGAAAATCCAGAATTTTGGTGAACTGCCTGTGGCTTCCCTTTCCTTTCTGTTTCTATCGTAACTTTTTTTAAATTTCTCCATTTCTCTGAATATTTATCGGCAGAGAAAAAAACATTTTCAGCCTTTAATCTCTGGCTAATTATTTCCCATACCTTTTTATGGCTGTACAGGGTGTCCGAATTTGGATGGTTTTAATAGGAAACGTCAATTTCTGAGCGAGATACAAAAAAATGAACCCCCCACTCCGAGGCTCAAATTTCTTGAAATTTTGATTGGTGCCATCCGCATTTTAATATCTTCAACCGTTTAGCCGCTAGAGGGCGATTTTCGATTTTGAGCAATACTGTGAAATCTTCATAACTTTTTTGTTTATGAAAATAACTGATTTCCGTAAAAACTTCCTAGAAGCACTTTTTCAAGCAGAATTCAGTGACGTCTTCAGTTTTTTTTCTATTGGGCCTCCATTTCAATATATTGACCAAAATACGATTTTTTTCAATGGAACACCCTATATATTAATAGCTCATTAGAAAGCTCTGCTTTTGCTGATTTCAATGATACAAATTTCGATAGGTTTATCTCTAACAGTTTTCGAGAAAAAAAAATATTTCGGCTTTTGTCATAAGAAACAATGAGTTAGAAAGAGACCTTTCTCAGTTTCCTAACAGATATAAAGTCCTTTTCTTACACATTGCTTCTTATGACAAAAACCGAAATAATTTTTTTTCTCGAAAACTATTAGAGATAAACCTATCGAACTTTTATCATTGAAATCAGAAAAAGCCGAGCTTTCTAATGAGCTATTAATATATAGAGTGTCCTATTGAAAAAAACCAGACTTTGGTCAATATCTCAGAGTTGGGACCAACTAGAAAAAAACTGAGAACCGGCAATAGTTACTTGGTCCTTAAAATAATAAAAAACAGTATTTTACAGTAACAGTAAAGTGCTTATTTTGCATTTAACATAACAAATAGTTATTTACATTACAAGTGCGTTTATGAAGATGATTACAATAACGAGTGTGAAAGATTAGAACAACGAGGTCGTAGACCGAGTCGTTCTAATCACACGAGTTTTGTAGTCATGTTTAAACGCACGTGTGATGTACAACGTTTTATCTACAAAGCGAAAAATAAGAATGTTTCTTCAATTATTTTCGTTTATTAGTAGTTGTCTACCTTCATTTTACCTTTACAGGTTTACCTTTGACATTTGTCAAATCACCAAAATTAGTTGTGTTATAGATTCATAACCTCGTCTATAACACCACTAGTTGTGTTATGAATTCATAACCTAGTCTATAACACCACTAGTTGTGTTATGAGTCTCATGACACAATTCAAATACTAGAAAAATAGTTATGTAAAAACGTCATAACCAAACGCTGGTAGATAAAACACTATAAACAATAGATTTCAATAGATAACTTGCCACGATATGATCTGTTATTTTATTTCTAACTAAATTTTTCAAAGGCTAGTTGTAATAATAATATGAAACACGAAACACCGATGCATATCAAATCCAATTTCCAATTTTCTTGCTTTTTTTTACATTTAAGTTCTGTTTGAAAATAACCTTTGTTGGGCGTAGGTTTTTTCCAAATAAACAAAAAAGTTTTCGTTATCTTCTGTCAAGGTGAGTAGTTCATTTTTCATATTTTCTAAGCTGGTAGTATCCTCGACCTCATTAGGTTGCCAGTTGGAACATCCAGCTCGTAAATTATTTATTAGTTTCGCCTTTTCAGGGTTCGCTGAAGATTTGTTCAATCCGCTCACATGTGGTCTACCTAAATAAGTATACCGGATGTGAATTTTTGAGATAATTCCAAGGAGTCCGTCACCCAAAATAGTTCCATCTTCATCCTTGTCCAAAAATGTCGAGGGGTATTTTTCACGCATTTTGTAGCCTAATTTTCTAAATGATTTACAGAGAATAAAACTACTAACGTTTTTCATTTCATTCACTATAATATGTACCATTTGAGTTATAGCACTTTTTTCTACGCTTCTACCTTCTTCACATTGCTTCAGTGTTGCCAACCGTACTATAATGAATGGTTATGTACTATGTACTATCAAAGGTCAGTAGAGTACGCCTAAAATACTATAATTATAAATTATCAAATTATTTAGTTTTTTACTGGAAAATAATCTCTATTTTTCTAAACCTATTTTGTTGGCGTGCAAGCTCTTATGTCTAGTCACCTTCTTTCTTTTTTTTTTTTAGGCTAAAAGACTCTGTCGTTTTAGTATTGACGGAGCATGTATTTTCTGACAGTAGACATTTTCAATGTCAACTGTCAAAAGTGTTAGTTTAGTGTTTTTTAGGTGACTTGGTTTAAACTGTCTGTTTTCCAGAAAAAAAATAAAATGTTAGATGGTACATTTATGCCTAATTTATGCAATGGGGTTATTTTTCACTGGAAAAATTTAAAATTTTACTATGATACGCCTGTGATTTTCTTTTTTTTTCCAGAAAATGTCATAATTTTCCTTTGAATAATTTTCCAGAAAAAAAATAAAATGTTAGATGGTGCATTTATGCCTAATTTACTTGAATTTCATTAATTTC